ACGAAGCACTCATATATGGCACTGATAGGCAGCACTGATGGGCACTGATAGGTGGCACTGACTGGCACTGATTGGCGGCATTGAAAGGCAGATCTGAAGGGGCACTGATATGTGGCATTGAGATGCACTGGTAGGCACTGATATGTGGCATTGATGTGCACTGATGGGCACTGGCATGTGGAATTGATGGGCACTTACAGGTGGCATTGATGGGCACTGACAGGTGACACTGATGGGGCTACACTGATCATCAGTGCCCTGATGATCAGTGTAGATGTACTCTCTGAGCAATGCCAATTACCGGCTCTACTCTCCTCACGAGCTGTCAGCGGGAGGAGAGGACTGCCGATAACCCGTATTTCCTATTTACATGTGATCAGCTGTGAATGGACACAGCTGATCATATGACAGAGCCGACATCATCGACTCTTTACAGTGATCGTTGATCCGCTGTGACCTAGGCACCACCGACCGCCGCACCGCATGCCCCCATCATATGACATCCTCCCAGAATGAGAGAACTGCCGACCTCCAATCATTACCTTATATGGCGGGCGGGAGGCGGTTAAAGGAGAATTATACAAGAAAAATGATTAGTTAAACCCACAAGTGCTTTTTTTAACACTACTATTCCTTTATATTGGCTTTTGAAATTTACAAATGCAGCAATTTAAAAATTGGATGAAAGGTTTAGCACTGGGAAACACAGTTTGGAGCTAAGCATTAATACTTCCACGTTTGGGTATTTTTCTCAATGAAGGACTGCACTGTTATATGGAGAATTGTCAAATGTTCAATATACATTACAAGACTTAATAAAGAGGAGCTTCACCCAACTATTAGAAAACTAAAAGTCAGCAACTATATAACTGCTGGCTTTTGACCTCTTGCTGCCCATTTAACTTATATGTGTGGCAAACAAAGAGGGTGGGCTTTAATGCCACATGCCGCACATATGTGCCCATGAGCAGCAGAGCACAGTAACCAAACTGTCAAAGCCCATACTCATGATTGAGAGTTGGCAGGACAGTTTCCTGATCATGTGACCACTGTGGCCAATCACAGTGGTCACATCGTCAGCTGATCATTCCCACCCCCTGTGCATGAAGGGGCTAAAAAACATACATTTACCAGTCCATGAAGTCCACCACTGTTGTCTTTGCACCCAAAGTCATTACAGCTCTCTTTGTACCCAGATTTGGGAGCTGGCTGTCACCTCCTGTTAACAGCCCCCCCGCCTGATACAAATGCATGTGATCCTCCAACTGTACACTTTGAAAACATATCAAATCTCAAAAGGGAAAAATGTCATGCTGGATATCTATACTGATATGGACTGGGTAATGTGTTAGGAACGTAAGGATGTCCCATCGTTTGATAGAAATTAACATTACCAACCTATTGAGGACTGAATTCAAAGACACCCTGAAAATCAAAGTGAAAAAATGATGCAGCAGGCTAATCCATTTTGCTGAAATTTCATTGCAGCAATTCAAAATGGTACTCAGTAGTTTGCATGGCCCCCATGTGCTTGTATGCATGCCTGACAACATCGGGGCATGTTCTTAATGAGATGATGGATGGTGTACTGGGGTATTTTCTCCGAGATCTGGAACAGGGCATCACTGAGCTCCTGGACAGTCTGAGGTGCAACCTGGAGGCATCAGATAGACTGAAACATGATATCCCAGAGGTGTTATATTGGATTTAGGTCAGGCGAGCGTGAGGGCCGTTCAATGGTATCAATTCCTTCATCCTCCAGGAACTGCCTGCATACTCACGCCACATGAGGCTGGGTATTGTCGCATACTAGGAGGAACCCAAGACCCACTGCACCAGCGTAGGGTCTGACAATGGGTACAAGGATTTAATCCCAATACCTAATGACAGTCAGGGTGCCATTATCTATCCTGTAGAGGTCTGTGTGTCCCTCTATGGATATGCCTCCCCAGGCCTTCACTGACCCACCACCAAAACGGTCATGCTGAATGATGTTACAGGCATCATAACGTTCTCCACAGCTTCTCCAGACCCTTTTCTGTCACATGTGCTCAGGGTGAACCTGCTCTTATCTGTGAAAAGCACGGGGCACCAGTGGCAGACCTGCCAATTCTGGTGTTCAAGGGAAAATGCCAATCAAGCTCTATGGTGCTGGGCAGTGAACACAGGGCCCACTAGAGGACATCGGGCCCTCAGGCCACCCTCATGAAGTTTCATCTGTTTCTGATTGTTTGGTCAGAGACAGTCACACCAGTGGCCTGCTGGAGGTCATTTTGTAGGGCTCTGGCAGTGCTCATCCTGTTCCTCCTTGCACAAAGGAGCAGATACCATTCCTGCTGATGGATTAAGGACCTTCTACAGCCCGGCCCAGCTCTCCTAGAGTAACTGCCTGTCTCCTGGAATCTCCTCCATGCTGTTGAGATTGTGCTGGGAGACACAGCAAACTTTCTGGCAATGGCACGTATTGATGTGGCATCCTGGAGGAGTTGGACTGCCTGTGCAACCTCTGTAGGGTCCAGGTATCGCCTCATGCTACCAGCAGTGACACTGACCCCAGCCAAATGCAAAACTAGTAAAAACAGTCAGAAAAGATGGGTAGGGAAAAAATGTCAGTGGCCTCTACCTGGAAAATCATTCCTGTTTTGGGGGTTATCACATTGTTGCCCACCTAGTGCACCTGTTGATAATTTTATTAACACCAAAGCAGCTGAAACTGATTAACAACCCCCTCTGCTACTTAACTGACTACATCAATATCCCAGGAGTTTAATTGACTTGATGCTATACTCTGATTAAAAAGTGTTCCTTTAATTTTTTTGAGCAGTGTATATCCCAGAAGGCTGATCGGTGGACCAAGACTACATCATCCTCGCCTTGATGAGGAATGAGATAGTGGGTGCAAATACTCACTGCTACCCAAATAAAAAATACAAATCAGTATTATAAATAGGGTAGGGGGTTCTTAGGATGGTGGCATGTATGAGTGAAGGACCGCTTTAAAGTAAATCGAGACCTAAAACTCCTTTCTATTGCTTTTTATTTGTTTGGAGATCTAATTTCCATAGGTTTACTAGTAATGTTTACTATTGCCCTAAATAAGTTTTTGGCTTTCATCATGCTACTAAGATGAATTTAAAAAAGAAGGCAAAATAAATAACCACTTGTTACTAGAGAAACAAAATAATCAAACTGAAAAGCTAAAAAGCAATATAAAATGTATAAAATAACATATGGTTCTGGACATCAAACTGCATTTCCAATCAATTTTTTTCCCAATCATTTTTCCCAAGTTAATAGATAAGACAGGTAAACTGTTTGTATTCAGGCTTATTTTGTTGATACCGATCAATGACACATGGGTAAACAGCAAACAGAAGTAGTATATTATTGTTAAAGTGGTACTAAATGATATCTTAATTCTTCAAAATTAATCCACACATATCCACTACTTAATGGCCCTGTAATCTATGTTTCATGAAATTGTTTCTTATTGTGTTTTTCTGCCTACTTGTGATGTCCTTTGTGAGCTCCATAACTTCTCCTTCCTCCCCTTGAAACAAGTAGTGCATGTTGGTTGTGGTCATGTGTACAGCTCTATGCACACTACACACAGGGCCGGTGTTTCCACTAGGAAAACTAGGTGGCCGCTTAGGGCGCACTGCCACCTAGGGGCGCCTGGGTGCAGTACAGGCTGGCACTCTCTCTGTGTGGGATGCCGCCACGTCATGAATAATCCTTCAGCTGAGAGGAGGGGTGGCAGAGGGGAGAAAGTTCCAGCTCTTCTCCTCCCATTCATCAGCACAGGCAGAGCTGCGCCTGAGAAGCAAGGTAATGTCTGACTCTGATGTATCATGTGAGTGTGACCCGGCTGGCCAGACATCTATCACATGTGCAATGTGTTGGTGAGTGATGACATCATCACGATCCCACAGCCTGCTCTTCTATTGCCTGCTGGGCCTGCTGATCGCTGTCATTGTTGATGGTGGTGTGTTGTGTCGGATCTGTTACTGTGTGGTCACAGCATTTTATCTTCTTCCATTGCCTGGGGAATTCCAGCCTTGGATCTGTCAGAGTGTGGATCCATCATCCTCCACTCACTGCAACTGTCCCCTTGTCACTGCCAGCCACAGAAACAGTCCATCCCTGACACGGATTTTGTCTTTAATATTGGTGCTGGTAGCATCTTATGGCATGGAGTAGTTTTGTGTACTGTTAAGTTAATATTTTCTACTGTTTTTTACAATTTTATTTATTTTTTTTTTGGGGTGGGGGCAGAGGTAGCTGGTCTTGCCTAGGGCGCAAAATAGTCTAGTACCAGCCCTGATTACACACCCCCTAGTCCATCTCAAGAGGGCTACATTCCTACATACAGTGGGACTATGGAAAAAACCGATGTAGCCACCCTCTAACAGGAAGTTGGATCACAGCAGCAAAGAAAAAGGAATTTGAAGATTTGGAGGAGGCTGAGAGCAATAGAAGGTAATTTTTGAGTGTCAGAACACATACCTTAGTAGAATTTAGTCTTTTTAAACCAGAGTTTAGTGTCAATTTAGGTGTCTGTGACCAGAATAATGTTGCATTTTGAATAATTCTTCAGTGTTATGTGTTTCTACTCTATTTTCAGCCACAGAACAAAAGTTATGGAAGGTGTCAAAAGCCAGAGATGTTTCACTGTTGATGATGACTTTGCAATCACAGCATTGAAATTTAAAAAGTAAAACAGATTTCTACAGTGTATGTAGAGCATGTCATCAACCCATTCACATTTTTAATGTGCATAATGAAGAATAATTAATATATTGTTCATTTTGAAAACATTTCCCTTACACTAAATAAACTATTGCTCCAAAAGTGGCAGCTCTAAAATATATCTGACAGTAATCAGCACGCAATACTATAACGTCAGCTGTACACATACCGAATGTGTAAAAGGTAAAAGTATCAGGGGGTGTGGAGGCCAACTGTTCACTACAATAGTTTAATAAAGCAGAATTACTCACTTTTCGGTTTCTTGCATACAGAATCCTGGTGGAGGAGGCCTTAGGAGTGCTATTTACATCTCACTGCTGGCAGATTGCAGCCTCCATTGCTGCTTCTCTATTTATGGATTGCTATGTCATCACCTTGCTAAAGACTGTGACAGCTGTCCCTATAAGTGACGTCCCTATTAACCAACTACTAAGTGCTGGATGGAAGCACTCCCTGCAGCCTGATAATACAGTCATTGTAATTAGAAAGTAAAAAATATTGTTTCTATATATAATATTTTTTGCTTTCTACTATAAAACATATCCAATAAAAAAATGTTAAAAATGTATTCTGCTACATGTCTTTGGTAAAAATAAAAATCTCAAAATGCGTATATTGGTTTGCGTGAAAGTTAGTGTCTACAAACAATGGTATATATATACTTGAATTTGTATTTTTTTTTTTATACTAGTAATGGCAATGATCAGTGACTTATAGTGGGACTGTGACAAGCAATCTGATACTAACTGACACTTTGCAGGAACTGGGTAACAGCCGTTGACATCACCAGTCACACTAGTACAGTGATCAGTGCTAATTCATTTTTTTTCACTTATATAATAAAAAAAAAAATACAAAACCCAGTGGTAATGAAATGCCACCAAAAGAAAGCTCTATTTGTGTAAAAAAATTATATAAATTTCATTTGGGTACAGCACTGCATGACTGCACAATTACCAGTTAAAGTAGTGCAGTGCCAAATAGCAAAAAATGGCCTGGTCATGAAGGGGGTAAAAACTTCTGGAGCTGAAGTAGTTAATATTTATATTATAGTATTTAAATACACTTTAGATTCTTCAAATCCTCTCATGATGCTTCACTGCGCATTTTCCTGCAGGAGGCATTCTGAACTAAAACTGTGTTTGTATAGGGCATCCAGTCATGTACAGGTGAAACTCGAAAAATTAGAATATCATGCAAAAGTTATTTATTTCAGTAATGCAACTTAAAAGGTGAAACTAATATATGAGATAGACTCATTACATGCAAAGCAAGATAGTTCAAGCCGTGATTTGTCATAATTGTGATGATTATGGCTTACAGCTCATGAAAACCCCAAATCCACAATCTCAGAAAATTAGAATATTACATGCTATCAATAAAACAAGGATTGTACATAGAACAATATCGGACCTCCGAAAAGTATAAGCATGCATATGTAATCAGTACTTGGTTTGGGCCCCTTTTGCAGCAATTACTGCCTCAATGAGGCGTGGCATGGAAGCTATCAGCATGTGGCACTGCTGAGGTGTTATGGAAGACCAGGATGCTTCAATAGCGGCCTTCAGCTCTTCTGCATTGTTCGTTCTCATGTCTCTCATCTTTCTCTTGGCAATGTCCCATAGATTCTCTATGGGGTTCAGGTCAGGCGAGTTTGCTGGCCAATCAAGCACAGTAATCCCACGGTCATTGAACCAGGTTTTGGTGCTTTTGGCAGTGTAAGCAGGTGCCAAGTTCTGCTGGAAAATGAAGTGAGCATCCCCATAAAGCTCATCTGTGGAAGGAAGCATGAAGTTCTCCAAAACCTCCTGGTAGATGGCTTCGTTGACCCTGGACTTAATGAAGCACAGTGGACCAACACCAGCAGATGACATGGCTCCCCAAATCAACACAGACTGTGGAAACTTCACACTGGACTTCAGCATCTTGCAGTGTGTGCCTCTCCATTCTTCCTCCATACTCTGGGTCCTTGGTTTCCAAATGAGATGCAAAAGTTGCTGTCATCAGAAAAGAGGACTTTGGACCACTGAGCTACAGACCAGGTCTGTTTTTCTTTAGCCCAGGTAAGACGCTTCTGACGTTGTTTGTTGTTCAGGAGTGGCTTGACAAGAGGAATACGACATTTGAAGCCCATGTCCAGGATCCGTCTGTGTGTGGTGGCTCTTGATGCACTGACTCCAGCCTCAGTCCACTCCCCAAAAAGTCCCCAACACTTTTGAATGGCTTTTTCCTGACAATCCTCTCCTGGCTGCGGTCATCTCTGCTGCTTGTGCATCTATATCTTCCACACTTTTCCCTTCCACATAACTTTCTATTAATGTGCTTTGATACAGCACTTTGGGAACATCCAACTTCTTTTGCAATTACCTTTTGAGGCTTTCCCTCCTTATGGAGGGTGTCAATGATGGTTTTCTGCACAACTGTCGGGTCAGCAGTCTTTCCCATGATTGTGATTCCTACTGAACCAGACTGAGAGACCATTTAAAGGCTCAGGAACCCTTTGCAGGTGTTATGGCTTAATTAGCTGATTAGAGTGGGACACTTTGAGCCTAGAATATTGCACCTTTTCACAATATTCTAATTTTCTAAGATTGTGGATTTGGGGTTTTCATGAGCTGTAAGCCATAATCATCACAATTATGACAAATCACAGCTTGAACTATCTTGCTTTGCATGTAATGAGTCTATCTCATATATTAGTATCACCTTTTAAATTGCATTACTAAAATAAATTAACTTTTGCACGATATTCTAATTTTTCGAGTTTCACATGTACAAAAAATGCTGCCGTTTTTTTATTCCCCTTTAGAAAATGATCTTTGAACAGCCCTCATTTTAAGTGTATTGAAATTTTTTTTTTGATGTAGTAGAAAAGACTTACAACCCCTGTTCATTTATTTTTTTCTGTCTGTGTTCCATTGACGAGATTTCCCTCTGTTTCTGGTACTGTTAATGCAACAGTAAGTGCAACAGCAATCTTTACAAAATGGGGTAATTCCCTCTTAGACAGTTATTACCATAAGAGGTGTCCCCATGGAAAGATTTCCTCAGTTATTGTTCTGGTGACAGCTGTAAAATTTTGGATTTACCATGACTTGCTGTTTCAGTGATAATGGTCCCCGAAACAAATGAAGACAATGAACCTTTCCAGAGGTTCAAACCCTTTCCCACTGCATCCTAAACTTAAAAAATGTTTTGGCTATACATTTAAGTACATCACTTTTTATCTATGAGGTTTTCTCAGTAGCTACTAGATGTGTGTGATTCGTTTTGTTCTGATGTATCCAAATTCTGAATCACAATAGTAACAAATGTAAATGAATCCTCCAAAATAACGAAACAAAATTAAATAAAAAAATTCAAATTTGATTTGAATTTGGAAACAAATATGAAATGCAAGCATATTGCAATTCTTAGATGTCAACACTTCAGCAGTCACATTAGAATAGAAAAAAAAAATCAAATTTAAATGCCAAATTTGAATTTTTTCGAATTCAGTTGAATTGGATTCAAATTTGAATTAAATTTGAAAATGAATAAAAGGAAACTAAACGAATATCAATAATAATTTAACAAATTTAAACAAAATTAATTATTAATTAACAATTAATATTAGTTAATTAACAAATCGAAACAAAATACTTTTTTTCACTCTGTACTAGTACTCTGCACTACTATGTCTAGTAGTCACTAAAGTTGTTGCATAAGAATTGTCAAGAAGTTATGGATGACAAAATGACATTGTACAGCATTGTGATGTGCCATACCCAAACAATGCTCAGCAGATCAGTTGACCTTCTAAGCATTGTTTGGGTATGGCCCACCACAATGCTGTACAATGTCATTTTGTCATACATAACTTGCCAATTCTTATGCAACAACTTTATTGGCTATTAGACATGTGTAGAGCGAACTATTAATTAATAACATAATAGTTAATTAATAACTATTATATTTAACTACTATTATGTTCTTTATACATTTTCATTCTAAATACTAGGCTTCATTGCAGTGTACCTATTGTTATACCATATGTTCTCTGTTAGTTCTACCAGATATGCATTAAGTAGAGCCGAAACAATACTAGATTGATGTAAAATCCAACAGGGATAGTGGGAAGCCCTCATAATGTATACAGGGGTGTGCATCAATATAATTGATGGGAGATTTAAGAAATTATCAGGTGGTAAACTGTCCAGCATCTACCAAAAACTCAGTTTTAGGTGGACTGACTCCTTCGTACTGGTGCCCCTTGTTCTGTCTCAGCAGGGGATCCTAGATTTACCCCTGCTGAGCTGGATCAGAACTGAAATGGATGTCACATGAACGGACAAATGTAAGGGGATGTGTGTCTGCTTATATCCGCCCATATTGGGTTAGGCCTGCAAAGTGGTCTGGATATTTCTTGCATTTGGCCTGACGAACCTGAATGAACCTGGATGTAAACGTATGCACTTAAAGTGCTACTAAACCCACAACAGTAAAATCAGTCTGCAGTAAAGCATGCTTGTTATGCTCAATGTGGAACCTAAGGGATTACTAGTCTGCATAGTGTAAAAAGGCTGTTTGATCCTTTCTTCTCTGTTCCTTCCCTTGTTCAAGCGACCACCACTTATCTCCAGACTGAACCATAGGCATGCACATGCTCAGTTTGGTGTATATTGCTAGAGAGAGGTTTTTTTTTTTATTGGGAGAGTGCATTTGATCAGCACAGGGCCAATTAGCACTGTCCAGACAGAGGTCAGGGTATTTCTATCCTCCTAGAGCAGAAAGAAAACTCCTCCTACAAGCTTTAGCTAGTGCTCAGCTGAACACTGATAGAACTCACAAGACTGCTCTAACTGCTGATGAGAAAAGGTATTTATCAGTTTATATTAACTAAAATAATTGCACTTCTATGTTCCGTGTACTGTGGGAGACCAGATATAGTGGATGCAGGGTCCTGGGTTTAGTAACACTTTAATATGTTTTTTTTATTACAACACTGAGAATACATGAGTGCTGATAACGGAAACAGACCCTACTACTACCTCTGTTATTTTAAGAAAAAACTAGGTAAACCTAGCCTATATGGGAATATGGGAACAAAGCTAAAGGAAGACTGTGCAGGAGCCTGATATTGCACCTACAATCTGCTGGTCATGGGTGCAATGCTCTGCAGGCTCCAATAGAAAAAAATTGCAAATACATTTTTTTTACCTGCAAAAATATGTGCATTGATTGTTATTTTTTTGAAAGTGAACGTATCCTTTAATGTTAAATTAGTCTCAGGGGGTTCATTTTATAATGAATCTGTGCTTTGTATTTTCGCCTGTCTCCTCAACTGAACCCATCTAGGGAAAAATTTAAAGCGATATTCCCTGGCT